AGGGGACTGCGTGCGGCAAACGGTCCGCAGCCATGGCGTCCTGGGCCTGTACCGTGGCCTCAGCTCCCTGCTCTATGGCTCCATCCCCAAGGCGGCTGTCAGGTGAGGCTTCGCCGGGCCCTGGGCCATGGAAGGTCCGGGTGTCTGTGGCGGTAGCCTTTGTCACGCATCTGTCGCCCCCAGGTTTGGAATGTTTGAGTTTCTCAGCAACCACATGCGAGATGCCCAGGGACGGCTGGATAGCACTCGAGGGCTGCTGTGCGGCCTGGGCGCAGGTGTTGCTGAGGCTGTGGTGGTCGTGTGCCCCATGGAGACCATCAAGGTAGGCAGGGACCTGGCACAGAAACCAGACTTGCCCCAGGGGGTGCAAGATGCCTGAAGTGGTAGTCGCTGGGGCCCATGGAAACAGTCAGGGCGGGAAAGGGGGCTGGGTTGGGAGGGGAGTGTGTCCTACAGGACATTATATAAGTGGAGAGGATCTCTCGAGGAGGGTGAAGGTGTGGTCGCAGGACTGCTGGTGAGCTGGGCGCAGGAGGCAGGACAGGAGGTTTGTCCTGTGGACGTTGCATATTAAGGCCAGGCAAAGTGGAAACTGTCATCCCAGCTCTCAGGAGGTGGAGGCGGAAGGATTGCAGCAAGTTCAAGGCCAGTCTGGACTACAAAGAAAGGCCTTGTCTCAAAAAGGAGACGAGAGGCTTGCGGATTTAGCTCAGTGGCACCATGCCTGCCTTGCAAGTGCAAGGTCCAGACTTCAACCCCTGGTACCAAAAAAAAATTTTTTTTTCTATACCTTAAAGACTCTGTGTATATAGAAAATATAACTGCAGAGACCCTTCACTAGAACGACCCTCCTGTGTCCCTGGGCCTTTGTGGTAGTGGCCCACGACAGCCTGGGGTGGCACTGCCTGCAAGTGGGGAGTCCTGTCTTGATCTGGGTGGACTTGGGCGGGTGCGTCCTTCAGGTGGTGGCGAGGATCCAGCTCCTGTGCTTCCCTCTCTCAGGTGAAGTTCATCCACGACCAGACCTCCCCCAACCCCAAGTACAGAGGATTCTTCCACGGGGTTAGGGAGATTGTACGGGAGCAAGGTGAGCTGTTCACGAGGGTCGGAGGCCTCAGACAGGCCCAGAGGGGCTGCCCTTCCACTTGCACTGCATGTGACACCCGTCCCCGATCCCCAGCTGGGGTCTGGAAGGCACCAAGGTGACTCTCTGCCCGCCTGCTCTCAGGGCTAAAGGGGACATACCAGGGCCTCACGGCCACCGTGCTAAAGCAGGGTTCAAACCAAGCCATCCGCTTCTTCGTCATGACCTCCCTGCGCAACTGGTACCGAGGTATGTCTGTGCCCTGGGACCCCACCTACACGTGCTCTGAATCGCACTCCTTTTAGAAACTGGTTTTTTTTTTGGGGGGGTACCAGGGATCAAACTCGGGGCCTCATGCTTGCCAGGCGCCGTGCTGCTGAGCTACATCCCTGGCCCTTCACTTCTTTTGGGCTACCTCTGGGGGCTCTTCATAGGCCATTCTCCAGGCTCCTCCCCAGCCTTCAAAGCCTAGCCCCCTTTTACCTCCCAACACCCTCTGACTGCGACCCTTACCCCATGTCCAGGGGACAACCCCAACAAGCCCATGAATCCGCTGATCACCGGGGTCTTTGGAGCTACTGCGGGTGCAGCCAGTGTCTTTGGGAACACACCTCTGGACGTGATCAAGACCCGGATGCAGGTTGGGGCAGGAGAAGCCGAGGAGGTGGGGAGGCGTGCTCAGGACAGGGCCTGGCTGCTGAGCACTCTGGCCCACTGGTGTCCTGCAGGGCCTAGAGGCACACAAATACCGGAACACATGGGACTGTGGCTTGCAGATCCTGAGGAATGAGGGGCTCCGGGCGTGAGTACAGAAAGGGTGGAGCTGTCGTACCCATCCTGTATCCTCCCTGGTCTTGTACCCTCCTGCCCTGGGCTAGCCTCTTCCTGCACCTGAGCGAGATCCTCTCCAGAGATGATTGTCCTCTCCCTCCTTCACCTCCTCCCTTACTCCACAGATTCTACAAAGGCACTGTCCCCCGCCTGGGCCGGGTCTGTCTGGATGTGGCCATCGTGTTTGTCATCTACGATGAGGTGGTGAAGCTGCTCAACAAAGTGTGGAAGACGGACTAAGCCCAGAGGGTGGCATGGGGCTGCTCTAAACCAGCTCCCGCCACCGCACCTCACATAATTCCAGTGCAGTCGTGCCAAAAGGCCCCTTCCTGTCCCTCGTTCTGTGGCCATGGTAGCCATCGTGTCCCATAGTGCTGTCTCTCCCTGAGTGTGGTCTGTTTGTGATACTGCCATTGTGTCTGTCTGTCCAGCCTGACCACAGTTGGGTATTGCTCCGGCCTGTGAATCTGTGCCCACTAATCCATGTGCTTGCTCGTGAGGAGTGTACCTGTGTTTCACGTTGTTATATATCCCTGCACCTGCTTCCCAGGGTGCCTGTGTGGCCTGGGTCCACAGCCCTGTAGCCATGGCCCGGTCCCAGTCCAGTGCCTTCCACCCTGGGTAGCAGGGTCACCCTTCCCTGGCCTACCACAGCTGCCTCTAGGTCTCAGCCTGGACTCAACCGCATTCCAGGGGCTGTGTGCCCCCTGCTTCTCCCGCCATTGGCCTTAACTGGCCCTCGGGCCCTCCCTCCGCCCGGGTCAGGGTGGCACCGCCACTCTCAGGACCACCCTGCCAAGGCAGAATAAACCGGATCCTGTTGCAGACTCCTGCTTCTGCATTCATTCATCTATGGTCAGTGTTCTGGGTGGGGGAAGTGACAGCTGAGCTTCCCCAAGGACCGACACCAGTAGGCAGGATGGTGGGCAAGCCCAGTGTGCACCCTAAGCAGCCTGGCACAGCCGCAGTCAGCTCTCCTAGAGGCCAGCTTCTGGCCGAGATCCTGGCTGCTTCCACCCTTCCTGTGGCCAATGAGTGAGGTCCCACGGTCACCTGACGGGTATGTCCACAAGGCCCTGACATGGCTTGGCAGACACAAGTGGTCAGAGGGATAGGCCAGAGCCAGTGCTTCCAAGATCTACCACCTCCATGGGGAGAAGAGGCCAGGCACGACTTGGGTTTCAGGCTCCCCTGTCCCCGGCCTGTGGCACAGCCCACCTCACATCCTGTAAGTTTATGAAATGACCTGCAGTTGGTAGGGGAGCACGAGGGCCTGTTGGAGGCGCTGAACCTTGAGGGAGAGGCAGGTACCCTGTGCTCCCCTGAGGCTGTAAGCGGGGCCTTTCTTCGGGGTGGTAGGCAGCTGCCCTGGAACAGGAAGGGGGAAGCCAGCTACCTGGCAGGGACCTCTGGGCACCTCACCCCATAGCCCCAAATGAACCTCAAGGGAGTCGGTCCCTAGCTAGAGTCCCCTTACCAGAGCTGAGTCTAGGGTCCCTGTGGCTCTAGAATTGAGGTCCCTGCTTCCAGTCATGCCTTGGCAAAGGCCTCCCAAGGATAAGACAGGATCAACCAGTGCTCCCAGCTGTACAAGGGGCAGAAGTACCTGTCCAAGTGCCTTAATAGTCACTGGCATTTGGCTAAGAATCAGGAATAGGTCCCACCCCTGGAGCCTTTGAAGAAAGCCTGGCTCCTATCACCTCCTAACAGGTAGCTCGGAGTCCCCAGAGTCCAAGCCATGTTTGTGGCAGGGTGCAGAGGGTCCCAAGGCAGAGCTGACGGCCAAGTGAGGGCTTGAACTATAGAAAGAACATGAGGCCTTGGAGAGGCTGACCGTGTGCTCCCAATGGTCACAGGTTTCCCAATCTGCTGCAACAGAATGGGCCCAAGGAGCAAAGCCTGCTATCCCCACCTCCCACACGGACACCAGAGCATGCCGGCACCAGGGCCGGAGCCCCACACCAAGGAGCTCCCCGAGTCCAAGGACCCACTCCGGGCCTCAGCAGCTTGACTGTAGGGGTGGAGGCAGTGCTGGTCTGGCACTGGGCTGCCCTAGAGACTGCTCCCAGACTGCAGCATCTGGGAAATAGGTGGTGGATGGCACAGAATCCGATGCGCACCCAGGTCCCACCATTTGCTTTTGACCTTGAAGAACTCGCCTAATCTTAACCTCAATCTGAGAAATGAGGTCACGAGAGAACCCACCTTGTTGGGTTACAAGATTGAAATGACATCATCCCTGTAACATGCTTGGCTCATACCTAGTTAATAGGAAGTCCTCACCTGGGACAGATTTCCTCCTAGAGTTGCAGCAGGTTGTTGGCTGGCTTCCCAGGTTCCAGGTAGTTCCTGGGGCAGGCAAAGCCTAGTCACTGCCCAGAGGAGACTCCATGGCCCACATGCTGACCCCGAGATGCTAGCCACTCCCTGATCATACACCTGCACAGGTTCTGTTCCTGTGCCTCTTGCAGGAAGGGGCTGAGGCTACACAGCTAGACGCATGGTACAAGACGGTCTGTCTGGGTCTCCATACTTCCTGGGACCATCCCTAAAAGCTGGTGCTCATTCTCTCCCCCTGCAATCCCCAGGATCCCTTGATTATGCCACAATGCACCTAGGGGACACTGGCCCCAAAGCTGGATATGCCTTGAAGCCACGAATGTGGACTGGTCCGAGTCCCTAGGGTCATGAGCAAGGAGCCAGCTGCTCTGGTGGAACCCAGTCTGTAGGCTGCATCACACATCACCTGAAGAATGAACCCTCAATTCTAGAGCCGATACTAAGAAGGGTTTCTATGTGCAGGAAAGAGCTGCAGACACCTCTAGGCTTCGGAGAAGTGAGAGCAACTGGAGAAGCCAGCAGAGATCTGGAGAGTCACTTGCATTTAACCACAACCTCAAAGGCTAGAGAGGAGACCGGTGGCAGAGCAGGGCTGGAACCACTACCTGCCCTTGCAGCCATAGGACCAAAGGGGCAGAGAGTAATGGGCAGATTTTCAGGTAGTCTGAGGCAGAGCAGGCTCACTTTTAGCTTGGAGCTCCACCTGCCCTCACTAACCAGCAGGCAGGGCCAGGGTTGCAGAGAACCCCAGGTGGGGGCTGGGTGTGCACTTCAGAGGTGTGTGTGGGAAAATTAAAGTCACTGAGTCCAACCCACAGCCAGAGCCTCAGACACCAGCTGGAAGTCACACAGCCTCCATCAGCCTCGGGCAGCTTCCACAACCATGAGACTGATCTCATGGACAGTTCCTAGCCCGAGACAAGGCACAAAAAGGGGAGGTGGTGACCAACCACACCTGGGGCAGAACTTGGCCAGCCTCTAGTCTGTCCTTACTGATGTGGGGCTAAGGACAAGGGTCGTGCTCCCTCCATGCTGAGGCTTCAGGCAGCTACCTTTCACTTCCCACACCCTAAATAACTTTAAGTTTCGGTTACTGCTGCAGGAACCCACTGGGATTTTCCATGTCCCTGTATAGATGAATGGAAGTCAAAACTTAATACGCACACAAAAAAAGCCAGTCAGTCCTGAAAAATGGGCATCCCCCACTGGGGATCAAACCCAGGCCTAAGGAATGCTAGATAAGCACTTCACCATTGAGCCACAACCCCAAGCACCGGGTACACCTCCTTTATTTTTTTGTTTTTTGAGACAGGGTCTCACTATGTAGTTGAGACTGACCTGGAACTCACTATGTAGCTCAGGCTGGTCTTGAACTCACAGCGACCCTCCTGCCTCAGCCTCCCGAGTGCCAGGATTACAGGTGTGTGCCACCACACCCGGCTCATCTCCTGTAGGTAATAAAGAATTCTGGTTATGAGTTGTACCCCTTCCAGCGATCATGACAGTGAATAGTCTTGGTTAAGGACTCAAGTGGTATTTTCTTCACTGACTTTTTATTTCCTGTGTGTTTTCAAAGATTCTCTGTACAAGGGTCTCAGGTAAAGGGGTCAAAATCGGAGGGTCTGAGGAACTCCTGGCCTTTTCAGGATCTAACACCAGGGATTGAGCCTATCTGGCACAGGGGATGGAGATGCAAGCACAGGACAGAACTAGCCTGAAAGGACAATGGTGAACCACGGAGAATCCTGAGACACAAGGAGAAACTGGCCCTGGAGCTGCCCTGCTCTCTCGCCCACCCGGAAAACCCTTGAGAGTAACCTCCCGCCCACTCAGGCTGTGTCAAGCCCCGAGCCCCCTCGATATCACGGTCGCCCACCCACCACCACTTCATCCCCCACTGACTGTGCCTAACCTAGGAGCCCGTCTTGGGAGACCCCACTAGGCGACAGGGCCTTCTCCCTGGTGACTTCAGAGGAAACGCGTCACCCCCTCTGCTCTATCGCCGACTATGTCTGCGGCTCACAGGTTCGGAGGCAGACGCTGCCGGCTACTGTGTACGGGGCCCTGGGCAGTTTCCGCGAGGTAACTTGGCTGGGGCTCCCAGGCTCTGGCCCTACGCTGGCCGCCTGCCAGTCCCCACCCCACCCCACGCCGCCGCCGCCCCTGGCGGGCTGCTCTTCCTCTCGGTGCACGGCAGAGTCCTCCGGAGCCGTAACGCGGTAAGCTAATACACACTCCCGCGATCGTGATCCGGCAGCTTGGTCTGCGGGGCGAAGCAGCGCGCCCGGGAGGAACTGCGCCCGCCAGGGCCTGAAGGAGGTCGCCCGTGCTCACCGGGGACTTCCTCAGCCCTGGCCGCCGAGGCTCGCAGACGAGGCGAGGGCAGCACCGTAAGGCTGCCTCGCGTCCCTTTCTGAAGGAGAAGTGACTTCCGGCTTCGGGGACTGACGAGGCAGCGAGCGCAGCCACCATCCCGGAGAGCGGCATTGTCTTTTGCTGTTGAGTTTTGAGAGCTCTTTACGTAGTCTAAATAGTTTCTTTTTGTCAGATATGTGCTTTGCAATTCTTTACCTTGACCTGGTTACCTGTGTTTCATCTTCATAACAAGGCCTTCACAAGGGCAAAAGTTTATAATTTTGCGCGCACGCGCTCTTGGTAAACTAGGGGCGTGGAGCCACGCTGCAGCGGCCAGGCTTCCCTTCCTGGTCCAGAATGAGTGGGGTTTGCTCACGGTCACTGTCATCACTCTTTCCTTTGAGTATCATTGCAAGTCTCTCCCTTCGCCCGCAGGCTCCAGCACGGCCGGTTCAGCCAGCGTTATCCATCCTGAGTCTCGGAGGGCGCCTCGGCTCCTAACACGGAAGGCTGCCTGGGGCCTTCCTGCGACGCCAGCTTGAGGGGACGCACCTCAGCTGCTCGGCCCGCCATCCTCGGCCTGGAGACGGTTCCGTGTTCTCGCTGCCTTTCCGGCCGTGCCCGACCCGTGTGCATATGCTGGGAGGCGGGGGAGGGGGACCCGGACCTGTGCCGCTTTCCCCACTGCCCCCCTCCGCCGTGTCCTCAGATCCAGGCTCCCAGATGTCCGAGACGAGCTGCCTCCCTGGGCTCCTTCCACCCATCCTGAGCTAGAGTTCCTGGTTACTGATAAGTGAAGGAAGAAGGAATTTACTCTGTGCCCCTCCGCATGTCTTTTTGCTTCAGTGTCCCTGATCTGACACCGGAGATCGGGGCTAGGGGATGGGAACCAAGAGGCTCCACAGCGTCTCCAGGGTTACCCCTCCACATCCGGCCTACCCGGCCCGCTCTGGACCAGCCTTCTGCCGCCACCTATGGGCTCATGTAAAACAGTGTCCTTGCCGCATCCCCATGGAACAGGCCGGATGTAGATACACGGGGATCTGAGTCTCCTACCCTGCGGCTTCAGTGGTAGCAGGAGGGAGAGGGGTGGGATTTCGTCCCTGTAGAAGACAGCAGTGAGTGTAGGT